ACCTTATTTATATATCATTCAACCGCAGTGAGTATTGGTTCTTTCAGTAACTTCGCGGGAAAAAGCAAGATTCCCCCATAAGTTCCAGTTAGAATTAAATTGTTAACATGATAGTTTATATTAAAGAAATATTTCCTTTCGGGGTCTAGACTGAGTAAAAATAAAGCTGTCTCTTGGACGGAATATGGTGACTTTAATTTGATAAGGTTTTTATTAAAAGTTAACATGATAGTTTATATTAAAGTTTTTACAAATAACTAAGCTGAGCCGGGATATTTAATAATGATAAATTTACCAGTCAATAAAATTTTATTTTACTTAAAAGTTTCTTCTTTTCACAATTTACCTTCTCTCACTGTTTTTTAACTGGGTTTCAGTATCAGAGATTGGGAAATAGTGGTGATAAACCTCATTCTTTTTGCTCCTTTGGAGAAACTGCGTTTTCACAAAGATAACAAACTGAAGTAAGAGGATTAATGGTTAATCGCCCTTTCAGTTTAGAGTGATCAATAATACTTCACAAGGTTCGGCAATGTTTACATTCAATTCGGAGCTTATTCATAATAGTTAAAAATTTCTTTTTGCTAATTTCTTAAGTTAAATGCCAACACATTAAATCCAACCACTATGTAGATAAACCCGAAATAAGGCTCATTTTTTAGAGTTTGGCACGGCTGATCAGTAGTTTACTTTATCTTGATAAATCTTTCGCAAGCAAGCATTGCAAATAGGTTTTTCTTTATCTTTGGTTTGTTCTGTTCAATAACCTCAATTATTTTTTTGACTATAAGCTAAGCGGGCGATGACAAATTTGATATAAAACTCTTGCTGACACTGAAAACAGTTCACTTTTTTGGGTGGCGGGAACGAAGTAGAGGTTCTTTGATTAGGTAAAAGGTTCACTAAACCATTTTTACTTTTTTTGGTATTTAATTTAGTGGGCATAGTAGTTATATTTCTTCCCATTCTTTTAATCTTCAGCCGCGGGTTCTTTTTTCGTAAGTGAAGAGGTATTTTTTATTAAGAGTAGATTATATGGAAGAAGAAGAGGAGCCGAATACTACCTTACTGAAAATTGTTCAACACCATTTTGGAGCTGAATACTTAATAAAACCAACTCTGAACATTGGGGTTTTTATAAGTTGTTAAATATTTAAGGAAAATTAAGAAATAGTTGTTAGATATTCAGTTGAAACTTGGCAAACTCACTTCTGAATTTCTTGGAACATAGGCTTTTATTGAAAAATATGGTGCTGAGATATTGAGACTTTTGTTAATTGGATGATGGGAAAATTTTACTTACTTATTCTCGGAATAAAGAAAAGTAGGAAATATTTGTTGGATGCTTGGCTTTTTCTTAAAAACTAACTCCTGATTACTGGCTTTTTAGCAAAAAACATTACTTACTAAAAAGTAAATTGTTATAAATTTAATTAAAAACTTCTATGAAGCAGAAAACTCATGACCAACCAGCATATTCAACACAGTCAAAGAATAATCACTGCCACTTGAAAGGAGGAGTATGTCACGCCCTTGTGGCGTAAGAAATAGAGAGTAGACTTACCAGCCAAAAACAAATAATAACAATACAGTAAGCTCATGCCTTACTAATTTGCTAGAATTTAAAAACAGTTGCTAACACTGAAAAAGTTAGAGAAAAAATACAAAATAAATATCTAAAAATAATATGGTAATAGAAAATCAAATACCTAAAACCGAAACGGTTTATGAATTAAAAGAAAAATGCGAAATCCCTTCTTTTGAGGAATTTATGAAAAATTATGAGAATGATGGTAATTTAAATTACGATGATTTAAGTGGTGGTGATATTGGTGAGGTGAGAGGGTATGGACCTTGTCATAGGTATTGTAGTTATCCCAATTCTGGTTGTAAGTGTTATATAGGTGAGGATTGTGTTTCTTTGTATCTGACTTGTCCTGTTCCCAAAGGTGTTAAATTTTCTTGGGGAGAATGTAATGATAAAGCAGAAGGTCAGTGATATCATAGTTATTGTGGTGGTAGTATGTATATTAGCATAGATTTAAATGTTAAATGCATGAAGCCTGGTTGCGGAACGGATGGACACATGAGTGAGTGGAGATTCGCTTGTTCTAATCATCCAGGATATTACGAATATGCAAGTAGCAGAGAATTTTCTAATGCATTGCTTACTTTAACTAATCTTTGAAGTAGTAAAAATGAGATTGTGGGAGACATGGTAAGAGATATGGCACGAAATTTGAGAAAACCAGAACACAAACAAAAATTTCGTTATTAATTTATAATAAATCACTAATTATTGATATAAATATGACATATAAAAAATACAAAATTAAAAAAAAGGAGGTTTTTCCAAATTACATTAGGTTTGAATTGAATGGCAATGTTGGATTTAGTGACGGGAGTTATAATTTCGTCTTTTGCACAAACGAATATCCATTCAAAAATTACCGAGTTGGTGAGGAAATAGAAGTTAACATAACTAATGCCAAACACATGAGTTCTCAAAATTATCATCAGGTAATAATAAAAAAAACTTCTGGAAGTTATACCGGAGGATTACTTTATGATGATTACAATCCACCGCAAGATCAAGATAAAGAAGAGGAAAAACAAAAACAATTATTGATACAAAAACAAAAAACGCTTCATCAGGTTAAGTTAGAACTTGACTCTTTTTATAATGTGTTAGAACCGTTGGAAGAGTTTATTGATAAGGCAGGTTATTATCCTAATTTTAGAAGCAGAAGGCAACTTTATAGGAGGGTTATCCAAGATAGCGAAGGAACCTTGGAGAATAACAAAAATTTGTTTTTAACTGATTTGTATATTTTCTCGGGAGCAGTTGAAGGAGAAGCAGAATTTATTATGGAAGTATTAAAAGAGGATTTTTACCGGTGAATTAATTATGTTGGAATAACTGCCGAAAATTGTCCCGAAAGGTTGAAGCATTTTTTAATTGAGACAAACAATGTTCTTGAGGGTAATGATGAAAAAATTGTTCGAGAAACTGATGAAAGAGACAAGGTTAGGGCGAAGAAGCCTGATTTGACAAAGGTAGTTGAAATATTTGCTGGTCTTCAACAACCATTAAATAAGAATAGAGACCAAAGAAAAGAACTTGGAAATAGACTTTGAAATGAGTTAGATAATAAGGACAGATTAAAAGGTGATGC